ACAAACACCTTATCATTATAGATTTGTGTTTGATTTCGATTTGATTCAGTGTGAAGTGCTAATTGCAATAATGCTATTGTTATTGTTATGGCTGTCGAATGAGTCATCCATCCATCCATCGGAGCAGCTGTTGACGCTATAGCGCCTGGTTTTTGGTTGCAAGCGAATCTCTCTCTCTTTCTACCCGTTTCCCTTGAATTACATGTAATGCGGGTTTCCCACAGCGCGCGTGTCAGCACTTTACTTAAAATATGGCATTGGCTTTTTAGCTACAATTACAAAATCGCTTATCAAGCTATGCTAAAAAGCTTGCTGACGCTTTGCACACAAACGCAAACACACACTCATACACATTCATATCCATATTCATATTCATATATGTACATATGTATAGGTAAAAACACGCGCATAGTTTCTTTCAAATCCCAACAGTTCTTTTTGTATTTTTCCTTTTATCAGAGTTCTTTTTGTTTTCGCCAATTTGATAAGCCAATGTCAAGAGAGAGAGAGAGAGAGAAAGAATGAAACCTATTTGAACATTTATGCGGCCATAAATTTTATTGACACCAAAAAGTCGTCGGCGGCGTTTTTAACACATTCTTAAGCTACCCATAATGCCAAAACAAACAAGCACGTCTTTTATGATGTATACACACATGCATATAAATAAATAACGGTAAAAAAATTACCTCTGCGGCATTTTGCTATGTTAAATATTTATTTATTATTATTATAAATATGAATTTTATTATCAATTGCAAACACTTTACTTAATATTATCACGAGACGAGACAAGACGAGACGCACGATCTTTAATATTAATAATAACAATAAAAAAAATGCTCAAAAACAAAAACACACACAATTTGTTAGCGCGCGCGTTGAGTGAGTCGTAGGAGGAAGGGAGGTGGGGGGACGCGACGTACGATCGGACGTAGCTCAACACTGGCTGGCAGCTAACGGCAAGCGCACACAAAAGCCACAGCCAAGCAACTGAACCAACCCGACAGAGACCCAAGAAAAACGCCGCCAAGTCGAGCGGGCGAATTGGTCAATGGCAACGGCAGCAGGCAGCAGGCAGCAAGCAGCAAGCAGCAGACAGCAACAGCAAACAACAGCAGCAGCAACGACAGCGACAGCAACAGCAGCAGCGCCGTTTGCGTCGAGGCCAACGTCAACGGCGAGCGCGCTTTTATATGTAATGCTAACGTAGTTAAAAAAAATCGACGAGCTTTTTGTTGTTGCTTTTTCGTCAGCTTTCTTTAGGTGCGCGCTCTTCGCTGATAGCCGCGTTTATCAGCCAACTGTGCGGTTGGCATTGACAGCATAGCATAACCATAAAACGTTTACAAAATTGCCTTTGTTTTGCTTTTTGTTTTTTGTTTTTGTTTTTGTTTTTTATTTTACTTTTCATTTCTTTTCTTTTTTCTTTTGTTTTTGGTTTTGCATACACAGTTTTTGTTGCTTTTATTTTCTTTTTTTTTTTCATATAAAAAAGTAGTACAAAAGTGTTTAATTCTATTAATTTGTGGATTTCAATTGAAATACGTGGATTTGTTTACGAGAGATGAAACAAGTGTGCAAATATAAACAAATAAACGTGTGCGCCCCACTGCCACCCTCAAACAGGTGGGCGGGCGTAGATGTATGTGTGTGCTTGTGTTTGTGTCTGTGTGCCAGGGTGTGTATGTTCTTTGTGTGTGCGTGTGTCAGTGTAACTGTATCTGTGTGTGTATGTGTGTGTGTACTTGTGGATCTTGGGACTGCGTTTATTTACTCGCCGGTCATCATCTCCATGAATTCTGTAAGTTAAACAAAATGACAGACATTATTTAAACGAAAGCCAGAACTAGAAGTATTTATATATGTATGTGTATGTGTGTATGTGCATGGAAACGAGGTTTAATTAATGATCAGTTAAATAAACTAAATATAATTTTCGCCTCTTTCTATCTTCATTTATCATCAATCTACAATCGAAGTATTTAAAAACGAATAAAAATATAAATATATATGTATAATGATCGACCCTTGTATACTCTTACCCAAAAAATTATTTAGCGAATAACAAAAATATATATAAAAATAAAATAAAAATAAAAATAAATTATTCAAAAAAAAAATAATAATAATAAAAATACAAAATTAGTTCTAAAAAATAAATAAAAAGAAAATATAATCAATTTATCAAATTATTAAAAAATTTAAATTATATCATTTATTTATTTTCTTTCAGATTTTCCGTTTTTGTTATATATTTATTTTATTGAATTTAAATGAAATGAATTTTATAAAAAAAAGGTTAGTTTATTTATTTAAAAAATAAATATATTTTCTAGTTTTGTATACAAATGACTTTAATTAGATTTATTTTGAAACATCTAACAAAAATATTTGCTCCTACTTTTAATATGTTTATTTATAAATTTCTATCTTCCTTTAACTTCACTTCAAACACTAAATATTTCGCAGCACTACCATTCGTACATATATATATATACAATATATTTAATATAGTTCTGCTTTTTTTCACATTAATTTATATTGGTATATACGTATATATATATATAATGTAGATCTGTCACAGTTCCTATAAATAGCATCGATGTGCTCCAAAAAAAAATAACGATCAGGCTGTCATAATCGAAAACTCAAGATCAACCGAACTGCGTTGTCATATAGAACATCTAGCTGATGTTTACAATTAATTTATGAACGCTACAAAATTGTGGGTGTGCGAGCCTGTGTGAGTGTGTGAGTATATGTGTGTGTGTGTGCATGCTGGTGTTTACGTGGGCGCTTTTCGCAAGCTATTAGAAATGATTCCATGAGATACATACATATGTATCCATGTATCTATAGCATACTCACCATCGAAATCAACTGTACCGGAACCATCGCTATCGATTTCCTCGATCATAATGTCCAATTCCTGTTCGGTCAGTTGATCGTCGAGCTCCTTGAGGATCTCCTTCAGGCAGGTGGTGGGAATGAAACCATTGCCCTGCTTATCATACAAACGGAAAGCCTCACGCAGCTCCTTCTGCATGGCCTCAGCATCCTCCTCCACAATGAATTTGGCAGCCAATTGCACGAACTCACCGAATTCCAAGCGACCAGATTCTATACGCGAAAACAAATAATAAAAAAACGGTAAATTTAGTTTTTATATATAAAATGATTATAGTCATTAATAAAATTATTAAGTATATACACTCTATGAGAACACTCTATAATTAACAAAATTATAATCTTTTGTTTGTCTCTTTTTGCATTGCATTGCAAAAAAAAAAAAAAAGACTATAAACAATATAATCATACAATAAAATAACAAAATATATTCGCCTATAATTCTAAATAACGCGTTTGGAATTTACGATAGCATTAAAAGTGACTGAATTATTATCAGGTATATTGAGTAGCTGAACAACACCCAATAATCATATTTCATGATCTTATATTATAATCGAAAAAATACTTACTGTCCTCATCGACCTCTTCGATCAGTTCCTCCAGAATCTTCTTGTCGAAGGGCTGACCTATAAAGTGGTAAGACCAATGAAAATAAAAGTTCCAGGCTGCTTAAATATTCTTTCTCCATACACTTACCCATCAGACGCAGAATATCGGCAACCATTTCGGTGGGTATGCTGCCAGTTTTCTGATGATCGAAGCTGTTGAATGCCTTCTGGAGCACGGCAATTTGCTCGGGTGTCAGATCCTCATCCTACGGCAGGATCTCGTTACTAAATTGCTTTCAATTCGATTTATCCACTATCCACTTACCACGGCGCTCATGTTGTTGCTGTTGTTCTACAGTTAAAATATAGATCGATCTGAGAGATTTTCCTCGAAGTGAACACCACGGAGTATTCGTGCCTACTACAAAGCAATGCGGCTGCGTTTTCCAAAATATAGCGCAGAAAATTATATTCAGATCGACTGTCGCTGAACTTGCCACAGATACACATACAAATACACAAATACATATGCAAATACGTGGCGAACGAAGCACGAATACGAGACGTACATTTTCGGTATATGTAGCACATTTCCACGCCCGATGCCTGAATTTTATTGTTTTTTAGAAAGAACTGTAAAAGCGCGATCAAAAACAAAATTAAAAGACGACGAGCAAGGCAACCCAGTCAGCCACCCAGCCAGGCAGTCGGGCGGACAGTCAGAATGTGAACCGTATAGTGGTTTTCCACACAGACAGGAAAAACAGCAGCAAACCAGCAGATGGATAGAAGCAAAGAGGGAGATGCCTATGGAAGCTGCATGAATCGCCAGCTATAATGCGATGCGTTGCGCTCTTCATACAAATACTCACAGACACACACACACAAGCACATTGCCAAATATATATAGCTATAAACAATATGTTACATATATATACTATATATATATATATATAGATAGATATATGTGTGTGTGTATATAGACAACAGTTTCACGATGACAGCAACAACGAGATCAACAGCAACACTTGAGATATGGAGAAATGCCCCAGTGAAGCATGCGCTAGACAACGCATAGAGAATTGTTCGCTACACTCAGAGCGAAAGGGCATATTGGTTCAGTGATTAACTTGGCATTAAGCCAAAAGGCAAATAGCAAGAAAATTATATGCAGCTGCACATGCATATGAATTTCAATTGAATATGCGTTAAATATATGCATGAGAAGCGCAAAGAGAGGCAGCTAGAAAGTGTTCAGCGAATGGCAATTGAGGCCCAGCAAAGAGAGGCCCCAAGAATGGGCTATCAGCTGCTTTTACTAGACATAAATTTACGCATGCCCATCATCATACATATTCAGTCAGGTTATATGCTAACCTTCATCAAATTCTTGAAAATCGCATAGAGAGGTCCTCGTGCAATGCTTGATGAGCACACGCTTCTGATTTAGCTTAGTCAACTCAACTTGATACTCAAGCAGCACTTCCAAGTACATTATCTATGGCTTATCAATTTTATATATGTATATATTTTTCTTCCAGTTTAAGTTCTTTTATATTTTATTTATGATACATTTTAGTAATCTTATTGAATAGCTCGAAATTGCTTTTTGCATTCGCACCCAAATGATTAGTCGATGGTACCAATTAATGCGATATGATAGCGTGACGAAAATAGTAGGAGTTGGCACAGCTGCAGCTACAACTAGAACTAGAACTAGAAAACTTAAAAACTTTTGATTATTTCAATCGTTGCAAATCGAAGCATATTAGTTCCGGAATTTGTTGCTGCTGGGCGCCGAATTGTTGCCGGCTCCACTTTGATTGAGCAGCGCTGTAAGCGTAGCATGCGATGAGCTCAGAGTTGAGCTGGAGGCTATCAGTTTGCCTTTGGTGGTGCTGCTGCCCACGACGGTGCCCTGCAAACAGGGCGTGGCAGCGGATGTAGATCCTAGCTCCTTAGACTCCTCCCCGCTGGCCGTTGGCGTTGGCAGCTGCGGCTGAACGGGCGTGCCTTGCAGCAGCGCATTGCGTAAGTGGCTATTGTTGCCAGTCAACTGTTGCTGCTGCTGCTGCTGCTGCTGCAACTGTTGCTGTTGTTGCTGCTGCTGCTGCTGCTGCTGCTGATTGCTGGCCACTATGAATGAATTGGTTATCAGGCCGCGACTCTTGATATTCAAGTCCACAAAGAACAATTTCATTTTCTGTATCATTGTCTCCGTCACATTGAACGTGAGCATCATGCTGAGATCGATGTTGGTCTTGTGCCGATAGAGATCATGCGTTTGCTGCAGCCGGCAGACCTCGTCGTAAATGAGAAACAGAAAGCGTGAGCTGCGATTCTCGGCGGCTATGATGCCACGTTGCGCCAGCCATTCGCGATCCTCGGCGTCGGGCAGATAGCGTATGATCTCTGGATGTTTGCTGGCCAAACGGGCGCCACCCAGCTCCTTGCCGTCAATGCTGAAGCCAAAGGCGAGATTCGCCTGCACGTCCAGCACAAATTTTGTGGTCGTATTGATCTGTGCAGTGTTCCAGAAGATTTGCCGACGCACAGGTGTGGGCAAAGGTCCGCTAATGAGAGGCGTTCGCTGTAGTTGCAATGTCTGCGACTGTTGCTGCTGCTGCAGCTGTTGCTGTTGTTGTTGCTGCTGTTGCAGTTGCAGTTGTAACTGTTGCTGTTGCTGCTGTTGTTGCTGCTGCTGCTGCTGAAGCTGCAATTGTTGCTGTTGCTGCTGCTGTTGTTGTTGCTGCTGAGCAGGCACTGGCATTGGCTTGCCTGCAGCTACGGCGTAGCCCAAATTGTTGGCAAACATTTTGCTATTGCTCAAATCGTGCGCCTTTGCAGGTCGCTTAAGGGCCAAACGTTGCTGCTCACTAGCAACAGTTGCTGCTGCGCCAATCGGACGTGGCTGGCGTAGGACAAAATTCGTATACTGTGCCTTGGCATTTTCCAGGAGAGCACACGAGGACATCTTTTGCAGCGTTTCCTCATTCACCGCATGCTGCCCGAGATTCTCTTTGATGTTACCAAAGGCGGGCTTGAAGTAGTTCTGAATTGAGAAATGATTGAGATTGATGATGTTTATATATGGTAAATATCGCTCTTACTTACGTTCATATAACGCTTGATTATGTCATTGACTTCCGTGTCGAAAGCCTGTTGCACGCTGATGCGCAGCAACTCCAGAGCTCGCATTGCCGACTCTGCACTGCCGCCGCTCTCCATGTTGTGGACGCCATTGTAACGCTGTCTGATGCGCTGCAGCATTGTCTCTGCCATATCAGGGGTGGTTACATATTTCTGTGGAGAGGCGAAGGATAAGGGTAGTTAATTAAGCACTGCTAGAGGCTGTACAGAGGACAAAGAATTTCAGCAACTCGGCAAGGATGTTTCTGTATAATAAAAGTCACACGTGTATGGATACCGGACTTCTTAGACTATATAGTTTTCAGCTCTATGCTATTCATTTTCCAACGCAGGAATTCTTTATACATACTCCTTAGAGCTGTCATATGATAACATGCCTAGATATAGTCAACTGGATTAGCTGCTCTATCCTCTCTATACCACAAGTAACTAACTAATGGGCTCACCTGTGGAGCCTTTACAGGGGTACACAAACAAAGTTTAAAAACTAAAGTTCCAGTAACTATGGAGTATATTTTGCTCAACACAAATACAATGTCAATTATGTATCAAATAAAGCAAGATATATCTACAAAACAAATTAATTGAGGAGTATCTTGAGGGTCGGCTACGCACCAGTGTGGCATCCGTTCCATTGTGTAAAGTTGCCTCTGTTGTCGCTGGCTCCGTTTCGATGTGTTTCGTGGGACTGGCGACGCGCGTGTCCATGGAGTGTGTTGTCTGATTGGAGCAGTCGGAGTCATCCGAGGAGGAAGTGCCCTGCAATCCTGCAGGTGAACGTTGTTGTGCATCGTTGTTGATGTTGTTATTCGCTGTGCTTGCCGCATCGCTTAGAATCTTCCAACTGCGCTGGATAACCATCTTTTTGTTTTTTATTTTTTGTTTATTATTTTCGCTTATGTGAAAAAGTTTTCATTTGGTTTCAGCTGCACTTGAACTGCTGAGCTGCTTTTTATCTGGGCTGCCTGCTGGCCAGGGACCAAGGTCTGCAGTGCGCATGCGCGATTGTGCCACCACCAGCAGCAGAGCTCATGCCCCGCCGACCCATAAAATCGTAACGAAACAATAACTTTCAACAGCTGCTGCTGCTGGCCGCTGGCTCCGGCTTTGCCACTGGCTGTGGCGCTGGCCCTGGCTTTACAACCGGCTCTGGCTCTGGTTCTGGCGCTGTCATTGCCGGACTGCAGTCCATGTCCAGTTCACCCAGCTCCAGACGTCGCTGGTGATCCAACAGGCTACGCAGCTCAGCGAATTCCTCTAGCTCATCGTCCTCATCCATGGCATTGACATCAGCAGCAACTGCAGCGGGTTCCTTGACGGTCTCGATTGCTTTGCTGGATTTCTTCAGCTGCTGTCGCTGCGCCAACAGCTTCCTGTCAAACTCATCCATATATTCGAGCGCGGCACTGGGCAGATAATCATCTGGAGCCTCATAGCCGCTGTGGACGGGCAGGTTCAGCACATCAGGCAGCATAAAGGGAAATAGCCAACAAACTAAAGGTGTGCTGCCACAGGTGTAGCTGGCCTCCTTGTGATAGAAGAGTAGACCGTCCAGCTGCGGCTGATTCGCCTCCCACTGGGGATAGCGTTGCAGCGCCTGCTCCACAGCGCTGGCGTCCTCAAAATCATAGTACTCCAGCAACTTGAACGGTTTTTCATTTCGGTTGCTACGCTCGCTCAGTTCGCCGTGCTCATCGAAGCGCGACCGCAGCCAAAAGAAACGAAAATTTGCATCGCAATCGAGCAGCAGCTGCTGGCCAAATGAGAGCGCATCCAGCACAAAGAAAGTATCCATCTCCTGAACGTACACGCAGTCCAGCACAGTCTTGAACTTCTGCACGTAGCCATCGCCAGGCAACAGTGAACGTAGCTGCATGACAATGCGTCCTGCTTTATTGTAGACCTTTGTACGGCCATTACTGGCCATAACCAAGCAGCGCTTGCCCACGGGACAGGGCAGTAGCAACCAATCGGACAAGTTGTCGGGACGATGCCGCAGCCATTCGGATTGCTGTAGCCTTAAATACGGATTCTTGCTGTCATTGTGGTTGTTCTTGGTATTTTTGTTGCGCTGTCTGCGTTTTTTCTGTTGCGCTTTGCTCTGTCCGCTCGATGTTGACTGCTCTTGTTCATCGTCGTCGTCGTCGTCTGAGTCTTTAACGAGCCGGTGGACATCTTGTTGCAGCTGTCTTCGCCTTTTTTGCTCATAGAGCAACTGTTGCTGGCGCAGCTTTTGTTGCTCACCGAGATCGACGCTCTTTTTGTACAGCTCTTTGTAATTACTGCTCATTTTGAAAATAAGAAATTCACACCGCAAACAAAACACACCGGCGCTGCAAATTGTATTTTGACATTCTCACAAACTTACGGTCACACTGTCGATGGTTGAATAAATATCGATATCGAAAAACATCGCTTAAACAGCTGATTGACCTGCACTGGCTCTGTCATTTGCCGGCGTTTATTATTTATTACTTAAGTGCCTTTTAAATGAACAACAGAAATGAATAAAGCTTCACGTCTCTTCTGCCCCGCCTTGATAATTCCAAAAAATGCAGTTGTCAAACAAACGGAACAGTTGTCAGTCAGCCAGAAGGTAATTGTGAACTCGTGTTACGAAAGCAAAAGTGAACTCTTGTTACATTACAATCTTCCTATTTCTAGCTGCTAACTGAGCTCGGCCTAGTCAAATCTGGTAGCAATGGCACCTATCAAATTATGCCTATAGCGCAACGCGCCTTGGACAAATGCATTAATTTGGTACAGCGCAACATGCAGGAGGCTGGCGGCCAAAAGATCAGCCTGCCCGTCCTAACGCCCACGCAGCTGTGGAAGAAGACAGGCCGCCTGGACGGAGATATATCCGAGTTCTATATGGTGCGCGATCGCAGTGGCAAACAGTTCCTAATGAGTCCGGTGAGTAAGCTTTGTCTTCAAATTATCATTACTATCATATGTGCTCTGCAGACTCATGAGGAAGCGATCACAGCTATGTTGGCCACCACAGCGCCCATTTCCTATCGCCAGCTGCCCTTGCTTTTATACCAAATTGGTCCCAAGTTTCGTGATGAGCTGAAATCACGATTTGGCTTGATGCGCGCCAAGGAATTCCTCATGAAGGACATGTACACATTCGATGTATCGAAGGAGAAAGCGGAACTCACTTATGCAACAGTTAGCGAAGCTTACGAACGCTTCTTCAGGCAGCTGGAGGTGCCTTTTGTTAAAGGTGCGTAGTTAGCTCTATACAAATATCGTCTCATCATTAAGTTCTCTCTTGTAGTTGAGGCTGCCACGGGCATCATGGGCGGCAGCTTGTCGCACGAATATCATTATATTTCCCCAGTCGGCGAGGATACGCTGCTCAACTGCAGCTCCTGTGGCTATGCGGGCAATGCTGAGGTCTTTGGAGAAGATGCTACTAGCACATGCCCCAACTGTCAGAGCACACAGCTGAATCGTGTGCGTGGAGTCGAGGTGGCACACACTTTTCTGCTGGGCGACAAGTACTCAAAGCCTTTGGGTGCGACCTATCTGAACACCTCAGGCAAGCCGGAAACTCTAGTCATGGGCTGCTATGGCATAGGCATAACACGCATCATAGCTGCAGCGCTGGAAGTGCTCTCCACAGAGCATGAGCTACGCTGGCCCACGCTGCTGGCGCCCTATGACGTGTGTCTAATTGGACCAAAGCAGGGCAGCAAGGAGCAAGTGTCAGGGGAGCGCATAGAGAGCGATTTGCTGCAGCAGCTAACACAAGTCTGCGGCGCAGAGCAGCTGCTGCATGATGACCGCAAGGAACTGACCATAGGCAAACGTTTGATGGAAGCCAAACGCTTGGGTCACCCACTCACCGTTGTTGTGGGCGCCAAGGCAACGCAAGGAGAGGCGCCCAAGCTGGAACTGCATGCAAGCGGGGCGGAGACAGTGGAGTTGAATATAACTGAAGTGCTGGAGCGTGTGGCGTCGCATGTGAGGCACAAGCAGCAGCTCTTGCAGCAAATACCCAGCAGTGAAACGGATGTTCGAGTAAGACAAACTGTTGGTCATGTGTATTAGCTTTATGTCTATAATAAAGATAACAATAACTCAAAACAAAACTAGTCGCAGCCACGCTGATTACTTCACTAGCTAGTACTCCGCGTAGTCCGGCTCGGGTATCTGCGGATATATCTGGACCTGCTGCTGTGGCTTGCGTGGTGGCGGCGGTGGCTTGGTTATCATATTCGTGTACGACCAGGGCATCTGATTGCGCAGCTCCTCGCTGATGCGCGGATTCGTCGGCTGCATTGGATAAATTTCCGAATAGCGACTATTTAGAGCTGAGCTCGAGGCCAGCTGCTGTGCTGCTGGCGACAAGGGTGTAGCTGGGCGTGGCGTGGTTGAATCCGAGGCGGGATAGTTGAGCTGATCGGGATGGGCATCGGTATTGCGGTAGGTGCTATTCTCCTGCTGTGGCGATAGTGGAGACTGTGGTTGCTGCTGTGGCGGCGGCAAAACCTGCACTGGCGACTGCAGTGTGGTTCGATCATTGGCCTGGTAACGGGAATCCTGTCGCTCCAACATGTCTGAGGTCTGCGCTGGTATTATGAGAGGCGATGGCTTGGGACGCACCTGCTCCGGAAACTGCGGCTCCTCTTCGAGCTGGGGCGTTACAGATGTCGGTGCCGTCGGCTGCTGCATTTGCGCCACATACGCCGTCGACTGTTGCGCCGGCAGCGGACGTTCTATCGGCTGGCTATTAGTTTTAGCTGCCGTCTGATTGGCCAGCACATTTGATAGGGACAGACAGAAGATGCCGCCGATCACATTCAGCAGCCAGATGATCACCACACGGCAGCTCAGACAAGTCATCAGAATGGCGGGCGTGGAAAAGTAGACGCCAAATGTATCCAAATAGTTCACCACTTCGCTAGGAGTTGTAGGATCCAATGTGGCGCCCACAAACTCAAAAGCATCATTCAGTGTCTGTTGATGGAAGACCACTTATATAGATTTCTCTATCTCTCTGAGTTCCCATTTTTGGCCTTACCAAAGTCTTTGATATGTCCATGCCATGATAGACGGTGGCCACTATATCCAGAATGCAGCCAGCCAGCACGGACAGGAACCAGGGCCAGTAGATCACGCCAGAAATCAATTTGGTGGTGGCGCAGCACAGGGTGACTACGGTTAAAGGAGATAATTATAAAATGGATCTGATTTGATATATGTACTCTGGCACCACTTACGTATGATCAATGCGGAGGCAGCCACCCAAAGGCCGCTCACCACGGCATAGGTGACCATAAAGATGAACTCGCGATTCTTTGTCTCATACGACTGATGCCAATCCATGGTCAACGGGTAGCTGCCTTGTACGCCATCGTAGCTAAGCTCAATTATCGGAGGACCACACTCTTCCTCTGTTGAAGACATGGCATGAAGCATAATGAAAAATGTTTAGGTAGCTGGAAGACTTACGCACAAAATAGATCAAGTTCATGGCGAACTTGAATGGGTCGGCAGCAATATTCGTTGTTTCTTGGCAATCTTGCATTGTGATGCCCCATAGTGAGAGTCCCAGGTATGCGAGGCCTTGTACCTAACAGGAAAAGAAAGATCGGGAAGATGTAAGTAGACATGATAAAAGAAGCGGAAAGATACTAGGTAGAGGTTAGAAGATGGATGATGGAAAACGGAGGATGAAAGATAGGAGATAGGATATAAGAAATAAGATATAGAACGTAAGATATAAGAGTTGGAAGATAGAAGATCAAAAATAAAAGGGCACGTGAGAGGATATAGGATATAGAAGATGCTAGCTGAATTTCCTGATTTTTATAGATAAATAAAGATTTTAAAATCTAGTTAAAAATTTGTAAATCTACCTTTTATACTATAAAAACCGATCGATACATTACCGAAAAAAAAAAAAAAACTAATTTCACATATGTATATACCATTTAAATTGAAATATTACCCTAGTACCTATACAAGTAATCAATTAACTGGGAAATTTTGATTAATATTTCATGCGCACTGTGTATAACGCATATCACATAGAGTTTGTTATCAAGAATTGAGTATTCATTATTCTATTCACTATTCATTAGAAATCAAAACTTTTATATTATATACATAAAAGCAAATTTCGAGGAAGTAATGAAACAAAGCAACTTTATGATGGCAAAATGTGAGTTAATCAGTTTCGGCAATGACTAATTCATGGGTTTTCTTTCAAAACAGTTCCAAGCCAAAGCTAAATTTAGAATTGTTTCCATATGATGAGATAATAGATAATAGATAATAGAACTTACCAGTATGACAATGGCCATGAATAGCATAAAACATTTGGCAAATCCCACGCTGACTCCAGCCATAATTTCTATTTTTTTTTGGCTAGTTTAAGTTAGTTGAAATGCCAATTGGCTGGGTTGCTAACACCTCGATAAGGCCGCACAGCTATAAATTCAATTAGAAATTAAGGAAAGGCTTTGGCACACTCACATATATACACACACATTCATAAATCTTATCAGTCTAATGAGTTTTTTGGTAATTTGGCATTTCTGTAAACTCTATTGAAATTCCAATTGGACTTCTAATTTGAACTTCAATTACTTAATATCTCTTATTTGTTTTTGATATAGTTTACACTTATATATTGTTATCACACAGTAGGAGTGAGTCACAGCACTTGAATGAAATTACACTGTCGTACATGCAGGTACTTTTATTATTATTTTCTTTTTTTACACACAATATATAAATAAACTTATTTGGAAGTCAGCTACGCATGGCAGAGCCACAAAATCAGCTGTTACTTTTTTGTACACTATTATTATTAATATTGCTGTTGTTATTGTTTTTGTCGTTGTGGTTCGATGTTGTTGTTGTTGTTATCTCGCTCACCGTTTGATAGTGTAGGTGTATTGCCGTTTGCACCTGCCTCCGTTGTGTTCAATTGGAAAAGTGTAGCGCGTGCACCGGCTGCTATTCTTGGACTGAGAGCCGGGCAGCAGCAACTCATCCGCCCATTGAATAGCCATCGACAATTGCCTTGGCTCGACTGTAATTTGGGCACGCCGATAAGATAAGCCTAATGAAATTTTAAGGGTAAACCTGTGCGCTATCACACACAACTATGTGCTGGGCACCCAAAAGACCGGGCCAAGATTCTGCTCGCCTCGCCAATTGTATTTGTCATTCAATTACTTATCAAATACGCCTTATCTAACACCTCTTTCAGTTCATATGCTGCTACTGTTTGCTTTTTAGCCTAATACATTTGAATTATATGTGAATTAAGTGTCATATTTATAACGATTTGTGCTAATTTTAAAAATGTTCGGCTGCAATTGGCTTGTCTCACGGTGCGTATACTTAATATCTGCCATTCCAGTCATGTGGACTGGAATGGACTCCTCCTCATTCTCGTTTCTATGATGGACTCGTGCTCGTTTGTTTATCAATTCGGCGATCGTGTTTGATTGATGTGCATGGTCTCCAGGGGGAACAGTGGGGCCAAGGGAACAGCTTGTATCCAGATCCATGTATAGATGAGTCAGTCAGTCGCAATGGGTGAGTGACTCCCAGTGCAATGTGCGCTGATAGGAAAGAGTATCAAGTGCCTGTTGGAAAATAAAAAATACCAAACGCGATGAGTAAATATTTGCAGAGCTGTAATAAAATTCGACAAATGCAAAGTTGAATAAACAGCGTAATACAAGTTGAACTCAATAGATACTTGAATAGAATGTGTGTAACAATAGACAAGAAGATAAGAAGAAGAGGGACAGAGCAGATGCAGAGCGTGAGAGGGAGAGAAACAAGTGAATAGATAGAAATATATAGAGAGCTAGTTCAACAGATTAAATGATGGAGAGGAATAGGTAAAGTTAGAAGGAGAGAGAGAGAGAGTGAAGAGAAGAGTCTGACTGGTATATAAAGAGAAAGAAGAAAAGAGGGCACATCAGAAGATGAGTAGAAAGAGAAAAAATAGAGAGGACAAGAGGAAGAAATAAAGTGAAATATGAAAAAGAGATAAAGCGAGCAGAACAGAATCATAAAAAAGGAGAAGGAGAGAGAGAGAGAGAGAAAAAAAGATAGATAGGGAGGCAGAGAGAGAGGTGAGAGTAAGAGATACAGAGAGAAAGCATGATATTATATATTTGGTCAAAGAGGAAGAGAGAGAGAGAGACGAAAGAGAAAGATAAGAGAATAAATAATAATAATCTTTAACACAGATGTATATAAAGATAGAAAGAAACAGAGTGAGACAGAGAGATAGTTAGATAGTAGAAAGAGATTGATAGAGAGAGAGCGAGCGAGAAAATGAGATGAATAAAAAATACTAAAAGAGAAAAAGTAGATTATAGGGAGGACGACAGAGAAGAAAGTCTAAGCAGCGTTAAGAGGAAATTGATTGAGAAAGAAAATATAATAGCTTTAGCTAAGCTAGAGCAATGATAAAAATAGTTAGTAATACTAAGTAAGTAAATACAAACAGGAACATTTACAAAGAGCTTCTACTGCAATAAATATGAAAATTCCCTCAGCTGTCTGTGATTTCACTTTAATTTATTGATTTTATTTTATTTTCCATTTCATTCAATTTCAATATTTTCCCTTTGTGATTACTCACATTATGATTGATTGCGTTTTCGCAAATTACTATTCAATTGCGAAGTCCCAGCTGATTAACACTTCGTTGAGTTTGAATAATAAATACAAAATTGCAGTCGAGAGTTGCGATTCGCAATGCTACACACCCCAACAAAGTTGGGCAATGTTTGAGTAACCCATTTGTATGCGCTGGGAATTATTTGCGCCCGTGAACTGATAAAGCTTTCCGATCGACAACTGAACACAATGGCTAAAACAAGGAAAAGCGATCTCAGCGACAGTTTGGAAATTCATTTCCTTTCGCTTGCCACGTAGCTGGGAAAACTTTTGCCATGCTCGACTGAGTCGAGCTCGATGGGATGCTAATCCGAAAGGCGGTTTCGCTGTATGCATTAGCAATTAGAGCCTCAAATTCGGCAGAGTCGCGGAGATGAGTCTCCCCTTCTGTCCCCCCTCTTGCCCCAACCGCTCGATTTGCTGTGTGAATTTCAAATTTAAATAAAAACGGCGCCGCAAGTTTGCTGTTTGGGCTTTCAGATCAAATCACATGACTTTAATTCAACTTGGCGCGATATAAATATGTATATGTATGTATATATATGTGTGTGTGTGTGAGTGAGTTGAGTTGAGTTTCGAGTTGACTAAGACTAGAGCGGCTCCAAATGATTAGACACGCGCGGTCAGAATGACAGGCTCTGCCTCCACCTCGGCGACCTTAGCCTTGAGCTTCTCCTCCACCTGCTTCAGCTTCACAATTGGCTGATCCGCGGCGGTGGTGGTCGTGGTGGTGGTGCTGCTTGTAGGTGTGGTAGTGGTTGTGGTGCTTGTGCTGCTGCTGCTGCTCGGCTCGCTCGTGGTCGCCTTCTCCGTGGTGCTGGCCTGCTCAGGCTTGGCGCTCGTGCTGGTGCTCGTGCTGGTGCTCTGCGCCTCGACACTCTCCACGGGCGCCGTTGAGGTGATGGAGGTCTTTGTGATGCTGATCTTGGTCTGTTTGCCATCGCTGCTGTCTTTGTTGGCATCCTCGGTGATGGTGGCCGACGTGATCTTGGTGTGGTGCACCTGGAAGGTGGGTATCAGTGGCACTGAGACACCGTTCTGGGGCAGCACTGAGACACGATCGATGATCAGATGCGCAGGTCCGGACTCATCGCTCAGCGGCACCTTCTTTGTGGTCTGCAGCAGAATTTTGCGCTCCTGCGAGCTGTCGGCCTCTACAGGGGCTGCTGTCGTAGACACAGCATCCTCAGAGCGTTTCGAAATGCTGTGCTCATTGGTCTCCAGGGGCTCGATGGCTGCAACTGGCTTCACCTCGACCACCTCAGAGCCTGCGGCGCTGGCGCCGTTCAAGCTGAGCGCCGACTGAAACAGACTGTTCTCCAAGCTGCCAATCAGCGTCTGGAACGAGACCTGCTTCAGCTGGCCGTCGGCATTGGCCAGCACCTGACGCTTGACCACATCCTGTGGCGTCTCACGATCTACGGGCGCATTCCTGCCCAAGAACAGATCATTCAGATCAAAGGGTGCGGCACAGCTGCAGCTAAAGGTGACGGCCAGTAGCTATCGAGAGAGAGAGAAAGAGGGATAGAAAGAGGGAACATATATTAGCTAAAGATCAGTTGGCAATGGCAGCTGCTACTCACAGTGAAAATCAATGTGTTCTTCATGGCTCAGTGGTTGTTGTTCAATTGAATTTTCGAGTTGTTTTCTCCACAAAGTCCAGATTGATAATAAGTTCGCTGACGAGAAGTGTGCGCGTTTTTAAGCGTAACGCCGGACGGCCTAAAAAAAAAAAAAGTTCAGTTAAGCTTTCAGTTAGCACTCTTCAAACGTGGCTCAAAGCAAGCGAGATACAGTTTTGTGTGTGTGTGTGTGTGTGGGTTTTTTGTTTTTGTTGAACTGGTTTCTAGAAGAAAAACCTGCGAATTCTCCTTTAATTGCGGTTATTTGTTGTTTTGTTTAATAAAATGAAATATTTGTTCTAGAAGTTCTGTGATATAGATATATGTATATCACACATATAGAGATAGACATACATACATATTCAGGGGAACTCTATCAAATTAATGGTAATAGATACAACCTTCGGCCAAGAAAGAGAATCAATTCAAGGATCGATCCGAATGTCAGGAAAGACCACCGCACCCAGCTGAAGCTTTCGACTGTTTACTATTTTGTATCGCAGTTAAGCTCTGTCGCATAAGCCGCAAATTAATTGAATTAACATTAGTTTGCGATATGATTTTATTGGATTTGTATTCATTTCCAAGAAATCTTATTTAAAACAAATACATATTTATTTATTGATTTTTATTTACGAACAATTTAATTTGCTGCAAGCGAAATTTGCGTCTGACTAATTTTGGCGGAAAACGATGCGCAGCTTAAACAGCCTCTCTAATCTGCTGGTCACAACTGTTTACTTAACAGTCGCAACTGAACCTGCTTTTCACTTTGGCTTTTGGCAGGGGATTTTCAAGAATTGATTGCCTGTTAAGTGGAACAAAGAGCAATGAACAATTAGAATCAAGTCGGCAGCCGAAAGAGCTCGAAATTTTGAGAAACTGAAGTCAGGCAGCTCGTGCTATATCGCATGAGCTCATGCCGTGACATCTCATCTATTTTTGCCTATCCTCAGAGTTTACAGTTTTTATTTTAAGCTCAAATGATGCGACGTTAATTAATATTGAAAGCCCAAGAAAACAGATTGACTGTTAAATGGAACAATGATCAATTAGAATCAAGTCGAAGCTGAAACAGCTCGAAAGTTTCACTAGCTGAAGTCATCGCATGCCATATCTCATACCTTGTCACCCGAACTATTTTTGTATTTCTTCAAGTTTTATAGATTTTATTTTAAGCTCAAATATGTGACGTTAATTAATATTAAAAGCCAAACTTAAGCTATTAAATTTCAATGTGCAAATTGATCTATAAAATTTTCCATATATTTTTCAATTGATGCTGCTCGAGTTAAAACTCAGAATCGTTAAAATTCAGCTCTAGTTCCTACAGCTCGTGAATGCAAATTTCGGGATTCGTCTGGTTCTGTGTGACTGTGAGGCAGCTCAAAGCAGTTGTCGCCTGCTCAAACAGAAAAGAAGGCGATGCCGGATGGAGTCACAATCTCTAATAATTAAACGTTTTTATTGAATTAAAAAATTGTCACAAAAAAGCGACAAATAATTAGAAAAATTTTAAATATTTAAGTCTTAATAAACAGCAGCTGTTAAAAAAAAAAAACTCTCAGAAAGGAATTTCGAAAAATTATTAAAAATACAATTGTTGAGAAGCGTTGAGCATAAAAATATTCGAAAATGCTTTTAAAAAATTTAATTAAAAAAAAATAATAATAACAATAATTCCATTCTTAAATTGAAAAAAAAAAAAAA